ATTTATTTATAATTATCTGTAAAATTCTTATATATATAATAATAATAATAAAATGATTATTAAAATTTTACAAAAACTAATTATTATTTATTATAATTATAATTATTTTAAATACAGTATATATATATATATATATATGTATCCTATTTTGTATAGTAGTATATATATATATATAGTATAATGTTATATGAATATAGTATTAATTAAGTCTCATTATTAATATATTATTAAAAAATAGCTATAGATATGGGGATCCTATAGTATACGACAATATTAAATGTTAAATTTCTATAGAAATTTATTCCCTAAGAAACTTTCCCATAGAAACTTTCTCAATGGGAAATTTTCTCATAGAAACTTTTTCAATGGGAAATTTTCTATAGAAACTTTCTATTTTACAAAATCTCATGTATTTACTATTACATACGTTTGTGAACTTGTGGTCGAAATTTAATGGTTACCACCGATGACAGCACTTGATTGTTATCCAGTATTATTGTAAACAACTGTTGCCTGAGCTCCGGGTCCACATAAAACTGGTCGCACGACCGGTTGATACCACCAAATGATAGCGTGTTTCGTATGATTTTCTGGACACTAATCGGTCCTAAACTGCGGCACTCGTCGTATATTTCTATTAGTCTTTCGTCGATAGCTTTTAAATCAAAAAAAAAAATATTTTTAAGTTTTATTTAGTTAAATATATTTTTTAAAAAATAAAAATAAAATTTTAATATATTTGAATGCATTACCTGTACATATAGAAAATAATGCTATAATATATAACACTATATATAGTCTAATAATAATATTATTATTATTAATTATATTTAACGCAAGCATACTTACAAAAATTTATTTACTAATTTTTAACAATAGATTTGCTATTTATATAAAAATTTTTATTTGAAATTGATTTTTTTTCAGTATATTTTGCTAAAAAAAATAATTTACATATAAGAAATAAAATATAATACAATAATTTATTTAAAAAAAAAATATTATAGTAATTATTACAATAAATGTATTCAATTAAAATTTTTATCATAGTTTTGCTTATAATATAATGATTTAATTTTAATAAATATTATATAATAAATGATTTTTATCTATAAAACAATTTATTATTAATAAATAACAAACTAATTGATTGACTGATGAGCAATTGCTCATTATTTTTTAAAATTTTTTTTTTATAAAATTTAAATAAAACTATCTTAATAAATGTCATTAAAATATATTACTGTATAATACTGTACTTTTTTTTATCAAATATATTACACACAAAAAATATTGAAATATTTGAAATTTTTTTAAACAATAATTGTATAACATTTATAAAATACTTTTTTTTATAAATAAGTTAAATAATAAATTTTTAATGTTATTCAAAAAAATATTTTCAAATATATTTATTATTATTAGTACTACCCCTATTATTATTATTATTATTATTATTATTATTATTATTATTATAAAAATACTTATTAATAATAATATATTTGTTTTAATGTTCAATGTTAAAGATAAAAAATTAAAAATTTTGTTAAATTTTAATATGATTTATTATTTTTTTACAACAATAATCATATTAATTAAAACTAGTAACTAATTGTCATATAATTTGTGTATAAAATAGTAAAATAAAAACTTTTACAGTATTTTGAAAACTATAATACAAAAAAAATAATAACAAATTTAATCAATTATTTTGTTGATATTTTAAGATATCAGGTATAATATAATATAATATATATATATTATAATCACTAATAATTTAATTCAATAAATATTCAATAACTTATTTTTAACAAATTTTCATTTTTTTTTAAATTAATAATAGATTGCTTTCAATAATAATAATTAATATTTTCATTATTAAATATCAATTAATTTTTCAAAAAAACAAAATTATGTATATTATCGATAAATTAGTTAAACTAGTTATCGGTTTCGATGATAGACAACATCATATACCCGGCCAAGTGTTAGGCATTGAATTATATGAACAATATTTAAGGCGAAACTATATGTTTGTTACCGACAATGTATGTAACTATCGATTGGGTATTATTCAATGGAAACGCCGTTTTATGGCTTATCTACAAAATTTAAATATTTGGTTACATATTATAAAATTTCTATTACTATTCCTAACTAACAATAATAATAAATCAATAGATCTAGTATTATGTAATCAATTTTTTATAATACCAAATGGTTTTATAATGGAAATATCTATAGCTTTGTTAATCTTATATTTTATAATAGTAGGTAAGTGTATAACTTTGAAAATTTTTAATTAATTAATTAATTAATTAATTAATATTTTTTTTATTAATCAATGTTTGAACAACAAAAAAAAACAAACAAAAATTTTTGTCTTAATTAAAAACACAAAATTATTAAACTATATATCAGATACATATAGAGATAGAAGTCAAATAGAAAGTTTCTCTAATAAATTTCCCATTGAGAAAATTTCTAGAAAATTTCTCAATGGCAAATAAATTTCTATAGAAATTTAACAGTATTAATGAGACATAATACTATACAGTATATTATACTATATATATATATATATATATATATATATATATATATATATATAGTAAACAATTATACAAAATGGGATATCTATATATWAATAAAATAATTATAATTATTTAATAATAATTAGTTTTTTTTTAAAAAAAATTATTTACAATTCTAATATACAGTATATATATATATCATAGTTTAATATAAATAAATAATTTTGTTTTTTACTTAAATTAATAACCAAAAAAAATACTAATACTAATACTTATATATTTAATTATTACTTTGAAAAAATCAAAATGTAATTAAAGCTAATATTTTTGCTGAATTAACCATTTGGAGGGGGATGGGAGGGGAGGGGAGTATCCCATAGATTATTATTAGAAACTTTCCAATAAATTACCCTATTATATATATATATTTTTAAAATTAATAAATTTGTTGTTGTTGTTGTTTCCAACACTTTTTTTAGGTACATATCTATTATATAATGAATATATTGGAAATGCTAAATATATGGACCTGTTTTATATGCTTGAACTACAGTCTAATTTGAAATTTTCAAATCAAAAAGATTTAGACTATTTTGAAAATCGTTGCCTATTTTTATCGAAATATATTATAATTATTGTTGAATTGACATCATATCCGATATATTTTCTGAATACATATTTACTAGTAATGCTATATATTTCCTATAAAAATGATTTAAATATTGTTTGGTTAATGGTTTGGTGGGCACTGGGATGTTGGGCTATACGTACATCAGTGGCACTGATGTTGACTTCGTTTTTCTTTGTCTATATTGTATCCCTGTATTTAACAATAAGATTCAGACAAACATACTGTCCGTTTAAATGGAAAACTATGAAAGGTATTGAAATTAATTAATTATTATTACAATTATTTATTATTATTATTACAATTATTTATTATTATTATTACAATAATTTATTATTTATTATTACTATTATTTATTATTACTATTATTTATTATTACTATTATTTACTATTAATATTATTTATTATTACTATTATTTATTATTAAAATTATTTATTATTAAAATTATTTATTATTAAAATTATTTATTATTAAAATTATTTATTATTAAAATTATTTATTATTATTATTATTATTAATTTAAAAAAAATATATTCAATAGATAAACAAACAAAAAMTAACATTAAAATAAATGATTTTTTTTTTAAATTAAATAATTAAGTAATTTTTTTACTAATACTAATAATTTTATTTATTTATTTATTTTTTGTGTAATTTTCATAATTAGATTTTAATGATAAACTTTATGGACAACTAGTCGATCACAATGACTGTACAAAACTAACTAATGATATTAATTCGTGGATAAAAAATTTGATATTAATTTTTTATTACATGTTTATACCGATATTGGATTTTTCGATCATATATCTAATATCGGAAACTAATTTAATAATTAAATCGATAATATTTTCGGCTATAGTAGTGGTAGCCTTGAATTCATTGATGGTCAGCCGTTTTCTGGTCAATATTGGTACCGAAGCTCATAGACCGTACGTATATATGACTGGACTGATAGCTACCAATCAATCGTTGATGAGACGGACGGTTAGGCTGAAAACTGGCCGACTGTGCGAACAACTAAGCGGACCGTTGATTGGCATTTATTGCGGAAATTTTTTCCCGTTTACTAGTTATGAGTTATTTTTATTGGTCGGTAACTGTTGTCTACAGTTTACATTGTTTTTAGGTTTATTTAAACAATAGATATATATATATATAATATAAAACATTTAAAAAAAATTAAATTATAAGTATCTAATTGTAAATTATTATTATTATTATTATTATTATTACTATTTTTAAATAATTTATTAATAATATTAATTTTTTTAAATAATTTAATTTATTAAATATTAAATAAAATTTATATTATTATTTTGTTTATGTTTTTTTAAAAAAAAATATATAATTTTGTTGTTCAATGTTAGACTTATTTTGTTTGTTTGTTTGTTATGATAAAATTTTTACTTAAAAATATTAAATTATATTTTTTTTACTATTAGTTTATTCAATAACAACAGTACTGTCATATACTTTAGTTATTATTATATTGTAAATAAAAAAATAATTATTTAAAAATGCTCATCAGTTTTATTATTATTTTAATTTTTATGAAAACATTACAAAAATAAAAAATTATCAAACATTACAAAATATATTTTCAAAAAATATTTAAAAAATTGATTATATATTTTGAAAAAAATTAAAATATTATTTTTAATTAGCTTATAATTAAATCAACAAAACTTAATTAAACAAAAATATAGTATAATATATAAACTAAATACTAAAATACTAAAAAACTATATGAAAATTACAACAAAAAAACAATAATAATTATTATTATATAATAAATTGTATAATAATATTATTATTTAAATTTTTTTTTTATTAATTACTTTGAATTAATAACTAACTGGACGTTAGGTCGTTGTCTGGCCTCCCGATGCACTTGACTGAACAGAAAGCCCGGTTCGTAGGCATTATAGCCGGGCTGTTGTCGGCCGCGGCAAACAAAACCGTTTCCGTCCGGCAAATTGAATTGCAACTGACCAGCGGTAACGTTAGCTCTACGGAGTCCCGGTTCGCGGGAACAGTCGGTTCGCATTTGCAGGTCGTCGTAGACTTTCAGCCGATATACTTGTGCACCAGTGAAGGCACCTCTGACTACCGTTCCGTACGAATGCCAGTGATGTTCATCTATTAGTGATTTATTAAATAAGATTTATATTTTATTGTTTAACAAACAGAGAGACAGAGACAGAGAGAGAGAGAGAGAGACAGAGAGAGAGAGAGAGAGAGAGAGAGAGAGAGAGAGAGAGAGAGAGAGAGAGAGAGAGAGAGAGAGAGAGAGAGAGAGAGAGAGAGAGAGACAGATAGAGAGACAGATAGAGAGACAAATAGAGAGACAGATAGAGAGACAGATAGAGAGACAGATAGAGAGACAGACAGAGAGACAGACAGAGAGAGTGAATACATACTGCCTTTGATTTGCTGTACAAACGAAAAGTCAACAATACTGGACACCACCTGATTATTGTCGGCCAAAATCAATGAAAACAATTGCTGTCGTCGATGGCCGTCAACATAGAACAGATCGCACGTGGCATTTGATCGTCCAATATAAAAGGCACGTAACACGTGCTTGACTTCRGGAGCTAACGTGCCTTTAGTTTGCTGGCATTGTTCATAGTTTTCCATAATACGTACTTGGCCAGCTTAGTTTAGATAAATATAAACAAGCAAATTTAGTATATTTATATTTATTTATAAATAAATGTGCTAGATACTAAAAATTTAATTAAATTAAATAGATTTTTTTTAAATACCAGATAATGCCAATTAAAAGTGTTTAAATTTAAGTAATTTATCGTTTATATAGTTAACTTTACGCTAAGCAAGGTTACTTTTTAGTATACAGTTACCTATTATATTAGGTTAGTTATATATATATATAAAGTACCTTGGCTAAAACATTACATAATATTACTTAAAATTTTTTACTTTAAACACTTTTAAGTGGCATAAACTGTATGCATAAAAAATGTACTGGATACAAAAAAWTTAATTAAATCAAAAAATAAATAGTTTTTTTTAAATACCAGATAATGCCAATTAAAAGTGTTTAAATTTAAGTAATTTATCGTGTATATAGTTAACTTTACGGGTAAGCAAGGTTACTTTTTTGGTATACAGTTATTAGATTAGTTATATATATATATATAAAGTACCTWGGCTAATATTACTTTTAAAAAATTTTWAAAACACTTTTAAATRGCATAATCTGTRTACAAAAAAYAATWATTATTATATAWTATATTACTCCTAGAAAATTTAGGTGGATCATTGCGTTCAACATAAATGATCTTGGTACTAGTATCGGCGCCTACAGTTTTTTGTTGTTGGCCATTGGCCATCATAGTAGTAGTAGTAGTAGTAGTAGTAGTGGGCGATACAAACCCGGGTGGTTGTCCCATATTTGTAAACTGTTGACCGTTTAATATGTCTATTTAGTTTTAAAAATAAAACTTATTAATTAATTAATTTAATACCAAAAAATTAATATTATTATTATTAGTTTTATTTACCTATTTGTTGTAATATGTTTGCCAACAATAATAGACAAATTATCAATATATTTGTAAACATTTTTTTTTTTATTAAATAGTAAAAAATATATTTTTGTTTAACTTTAAAATTAAAAATTATATATAAAATTATGGTTGACTTTAAATACTGTTTTTGCGAATTATCTTAWATACTTAAAAAACTTTTAATAATTATAAAAAAATGAAATAAATAATAAACAATTAATTTCAATATCATTATAGTTTTTAAAGTCAATTTTTAAATTATAATTTATTTTATTTTTAATTATAATTTTACATTTATAATATAATTATAGCTAAAACAATCATTTYAATTAATTAGYATATATTATTATAATAATAATAATATATTTAGCCAATTATTATTGTAATATTAAAATTTATTTACAAAATATATAAAGTTATCAGAAAATCTATATATATATAATATTTTTGATAGTCATTACTTAAAATAGTATTTTTTAACTATTAATAGTAAGTATTAWATTTTAGTTAAAAATATTTAAATATYTATCACTAAAGATTATTTAATGATAAAAATAATTGTTTACATTATSTACTAAATAATAAATAAAAAATTATTTTGTTTGAGTCTATTATAATTGCAATTTAATAAAAAAATTATTATTTTACAATTTTTCAATGTTAACATAATTAAGCAATATATTTAAGTAAATAATATATATATTATTATTTTGTTTTGTTTTTTGTTGTTGTTGAAAAAAAGTATAAATACTTTTAAAAAATAAATTGTTTAATAAATTACTAATTTTTATTTAAAGAAAACTAGTGTAAGATTATTGCTATTAACAGTAAATGTGATTCAATTCAAAAAATGTTATYAAAATTATTGCAAACTTTTATATWTCTAATCTCATATATTATTTCATGTAAGTATCCAAACAAACAAACAAACAAAAATAATTTATTTTTTTTATATATAAAAATATATAAACTTTAAAAAAAATTATTTTATAGTAAGTTATGGTCAAAATTTTGGCGTTTTTGGTAATCTAATCACTAGTTTGAACCAAATCAATGGCAACAATGGCATCAATAATCTAAATAATAATAATAATAATAATCTCATAGCTCAGGGATTGAGAAGTATTTTAACATATTTTTTACAAAAAATATATATATTTTTTATTTTAATTTTTAAAATTTTTTTGTTTATCAAAGCAACCGAAGTCCGCGATTTTGAGTCCTATCCCGAGTGCCGTAGTTTTAGCGACTATAATGTCACGAATATTATACGTAACGAAATATTTCGGGTAAACTCCAGTTGCGATCTATTGTGGCGATCGGGTGTCCACCGCATCCATACGCTGGCCGTTGTGTTGGCCGACGGCCGCGCAATGGCTATGGCCGTCAACTTTACGTTCACACATGTTGTCAGAGATAGTAAATTATGAAATAATTTATATTTTATTTATTTATTAAGTTTTTATTTCATATTTTTTTTTTTGTTTACGAAAAATAGATCTACACTTTTGGATAGCAAACGGACAGGTAGTTCACGGTTCACTACCCGGTTCACGGTTTTTCAAAGTSAAAGTCTATGATGAACTGCAAATGCAAACCGAATGTTCCCGCGAACCGGGAATCGGTAGACTGGATGTACTSTAYGAGGAAATACATTTGGACGCACCCGARCAYCGGCAGATCGGCCGGGYTTACTGTATGGGCGGTAAGGGATCCGGTTATCATGAATATMGKCCGGGGTTTGTATTTTCACGTATAATACGAKYGTCCGCCAATAATCCAAAAAGTGGTCAACAATTGCCCGTTATTTCGACACTTAATACCGATTTGATGACAAAAATACAGATGTCGTTGATTAGTCTAAACAATAATAATAATAATAATTAAATTAGTTTTTTTTAAAAAACCCGATTWTAATATATTRTTTTTTTATATATAAAAAATTGTTTATACTTTTTATTAATTAGTTTTTTTAGTAGTTTTTATTAATTAATTATTTTTATTTTTATAAAAATTTAGATTTAGACTTAAATTATTATTATTATAAATAATTTAACTCTAATTATGAATATATTRTTTTTTTTTACAAATTGCATAAAWAAAAAATCAATAAATTAAAWWAAAAATTAATAAATTATTTGCATAATTATCTATTGTTTTTTTTGTAGATTTAAAATAAAATCAAATACTTATAATATAAACTTATATACAGTAATAATAATAATAATAATACAATATCTATATATAAACAACTAAATTGATTATTAGATTATATATTTAATTAATAAATGTTTATATATATTAGATTTTTTAYTAATAATAATTAAAGTATAAAATAAAATAATRGGTAATTTARCTATAATAATATTATATAAATTTTGATATCATATAAACATTAAATTTGAYTAATAATAAAWTTTTATATAAATTTARTCAATTTTTTTAACAAAAACTTTAATTAACATAAAACTTGTTATTAATTAAAAGTCTATATTAAACATTAATTGTATTAATTAGTAAAATRTTTGAATTTTTTTTTTGTTGAATAGCTAACTAATAATGTATATAAATATTTAAAAATTATATTACATTTAAAAAAATTCAAAAAGTATTCAAACTATACACTAAATTAAATATTTATAAAATTCAAATAAAAAAATACTATAAGATTGATATATTGTATTTAAAAAAAATAAATAAATAAAATAATTTATGCCATCTGTATATTGACGTAAATKTATTGAATATATATATATTAAAAAAATAAAATTTTAAAAAYTGAAAGCCATTTTTGTAAACAAAAATTTTTAATTTTAATTAACTTTTTAAGTTTTGTTAAAAACAATTAATTATTTAAATGGGGTTTTATTTTATAAAWTAGAAATTATTAATTTATGACAATTAWTTTTTTTAAAKTTTAAAATTAATAGTATAATACATTTAATAATAATAATAATAATAATAATAATAATAATGTTTGCATCAATTGTAGTGTTTTTTRYTAATTTTTTAGCAATTAGTTTAACTATATTTCTAGTATTATATRTTTATTWTAAACWWAAAAACCGTTACCGCGACCAATGTTTGGCCAGTATTCCCGGACCCGWACCCCGGTATCCATTGATCGGTAATCTAGATTTGTTTCGTATACCTGGCCTTCCTATTAATGAATGTAAGTTTTTTTTGAAACTAATAGTTTTTTTGTTAAAAAAAATTATTTATATAATTATACTAWAATTATTGTCAGATATTTAAAAATATATATTTTTATTTCAACAAAAMAATAAATAAATTGTTTTATTACAGGTTATTATAAAACATTAGTTTCATTATCTAAACTATACAACAATGGTATCTATAAGATATTTATGGGACATAAACCAGTTATATGTCTATATAATTATCGCTTAATGAATGTATGTATTGTATTAATATTGTAATAATTTAACTAAAATTTAATAATTAATTAGCAATTAATTAATATTATTATTAWTATTATCAACTAWATATAGACAATATTTTCAAGCAATATCAATATTGATAAATCTGAACAATATCAATTTCTAAGCGATTGGTTAGGCGATGGCTTAGTGTTRASTACCGGTGCTAAATGGAAAGKTAGACGAAAACTGTTGACACCGGCATTTCATAATACGAAAATACTCGATAGTTTTATACCATTAATCAATGAACAGACATCAATATTTGTGGATAAAATCAAAGATATRTCATCCGAGAGACAATATATTGATATCAGGGAACCGATAAMACAGTTAACATTAGATATTATTTGTGGTAATAATACTAATAATAATAAWACTAAAAATAATAATAATAATAATACTAATAATAATACTAATAATACTAATAATAATAAAAATACTATTAATAATAATAATAATAATAATAATACTAATAATAATAATAATAATACTAATAATAATACTAATAATAATACTAATAATAATACTAATAATAATACTAATAATAATAAAAATACTACTACTACTACTACTACTACTAATAATAATACTAATAATAATACTAATAATAATACTAATAATAATACTAATAATAATACTAATAATAATAAAAATACTAAAAATAAAAATAATAATAATAGAAAATAATAATAATAATAATAATAATACTAATAATAATTAATAATACTAACTAATAATACTAACTAATAATAATTATCATTTGAAAAAATAAATAAATATAATATAAATTTTAAAAAAATATTTACTTAAACTATAGAAACAGCAATGGGTATACAAGTGGGCGCACAGGTAGGCAAAAATARGTCATACGTTAAGGCCATTAATGATTTAAGCAAAATATTYATCAAACGTATGTTTTCGCCGTGGATTTGGTCGGACACTGTATTTTATTTGACACCAATTGGCCGTAAATTTAGCCGATATCTMCAAACACTTCATTCATTTACCCGCAATGTTATCAATCAAAAGAAACAAYWGTTTATTTACWAATAACGAYACAAAAARTACGGATCAGTTAAGYGATGACAACRAYRACAACTATTTTTCTACAAATCARATGAAGAAGAAAAGTATGGCATTTATGGATCTATTACTCGATTATCATATCAAAGACAACCAGTTGTCTGTAGAGGACATAYACGAAGAAGTGGACACTTTTATGTTTGCCGGACACGACACTACTTCGGTAAGTMTCGGWTGGACWCTMTATTTGATTGGATTGCATCGYGAAGTACAGGACAAGATTCATGAAGAGTTGACCACAATTTTYGGTGACSACAWCAWCCAGAGAGACATCACTGCCGATGACATTCAACAGATGACATACTTRGAGTGTGTACTRAAAGAATCGTTACGTATGTATCCGTCAGTACCGGTAATTGCCCRCCGACTGGTCGCCGATTGTCCGGTCGGTGATTATGTTATACCGGCCGGTGTCGAYGTMTTTCTGATGATCGGTCAAATGCATTACGATTCSGWKGTATTYCYCGATCCCAACCATTTCAGACCCGAACGGTTTGCRTGCGATGACAACAACACCAGTCGTCCTCGACAACAATAAATGCCTACAATTATGTGCCGTTCAGTGCCGGTCCTCGCGGTTGTATTGGTAAACGGTTTGCMGTAATCGAGGAAAAGATAATATTAGCCAAAGTTTGCCAAAACTTTTATATTGAATCAATTGAACCGTTAGATTGTGTACAGRCATCACCTGAATTGGTATATCAAGCAAAAAGTCCRCTAAATATTAGATTTRTTCCCAAAAAAAATAAGATAATATAAAATAMTATTATTATAAACAACAAAATTTTTTTGTATTACTATTAAAAYAAAATATTTTTGTATTACTATTAAAACWAAATATTATTTAAATTATTWTATGAWTATATGTATAAAGTATTTTAAWTTCAATTAGTWTTATTATATATATAWTGTTTTATTATGATTTAATTTAATAATAAWAATAATATTAAACATTTAGTATTAATATTTTATTATTATTATTATTATTACTTTTACAGTTCTAGCAATTTAWATTTAAATATAATAATTAATTAATTAAAATTGACACTTTTTTTAATAWAAAAAATAAAAGTATGTATAATATAACAAATATTTAGATAACAAAAATAATTTGCCTAAAAATTTTGATTATTTATTTATTACTAAAATGTTATGTATGTGTTATTGTRTTATTAAAAAAAWATAATAAAATATTTTTTTAATTTAATATATTTGTGATCAAAATTATACAAAAAATATATAATYATTTATTTTTRACTCTCTCTCTCTCTCTCTCTCTCTCTCTCTCTCTCTCTCTTTGTTTGTTTTTTAARYTTATATTTACTCATATCTTATAAAAATTAAATAAAATTCAATTACTGTAGTATAATATAATAGTATTTTTAATTTTAACATATGTTTAACATAGTGTGTGTATACATAAGTTTTAATTGAAAATTTTAATTAAAATTTTTTTTTAATTAAATCAATACTATCTATRTTTTTAGTGAGCAATGATGTCATAAAAATAAAAATATTTAATTTAATTTTGTTTATTATACCTTATTGTGTACAGTAATTATTTTTATATAATTTATTAAATACAAACATWTAWAAAATGCTTGATTTAGCTATAATTTTTGTTTATTATAATCATATTATGTATATTAGTAATTGTATCAACAATTATACATTTATATAATACCAATAATAATAATAATAATAATAATAACAAAATTAAATCAAATTGTTTTTTATTAAAATTTTCGTTGATAACCAATTTTCAAGCAATTAATCCAATCAATAATAATAATCCCATAATAATAATTGACCATGATCAATTTAGTTTTCTAAATGGTTTACGTTTTATGATTASCTGGGGTATAGCTATCGGTCACCTGATTATGTTAAGCGTATATATTATCAAACAAAACCAGTTCAACCAATATCTTAATTATTGGTTTGTATTATACGGTCGTATTTTTATGCAATTATCGTTTATTATTAACGGCGTGTCCAATGGCCGATGGCTTACCAAACAGTTAACTACTAATACAACAGTAAAACATAATAATAATAATAACAACTATACCGGTATATGATTAGAAATGGGCTAAATTGGGAAAGTTTCTCTAATAAATTTTCCCATTGAGAAAGTTTCTAGAAAATTTCTATAGAAATTTAACWTTATTGTTATATACTATGGGACCCCCCATATCTATAGTTACTATTGTGATACCTATTAATATACTAATGAAACATATAATACTATATATATATATATATATATATAATACTGTATTATACTATTATAATACTATTATACATATCGGATACCAATATATATAAATAATTATAAATAATTATAATTAATTATAATTAATTATAAATAATTATTAGTTTTKTAGAAATTTTTATTCATCATTTTATTATTATATTAATATCATATATAGTTTAATATAATTAGATAAAATTAATTTTTTTTAAATATTTTAATTAATAATTAAAATACTAATAATTAGAATATTTAATTATTTATTTGTAAAAAAAACAATTTAAACAATGTTAATAAGATAACAAAATTAACCATCAGGAGGGTGGGGGTGGGGGATCGCATAGAATAGAAATTTTKTTTTARGAAACTTTCTAGAAATTTCTGTATTATTTTTTTGTTGTTGTTTGAAATTTYTCTACTWTTTTKTATTATTAGGTATATGGAAACAGTATGTAATCGGGAGATTAGCTACTATACTACCGTATCATTATTTTGTACTATTTGTATACTATATATTAATAAAATATGTGGGACTTGTCCGCCGACCCGATCCCGATATCTACGAGTCATGTATTGACAATATATGGCTGAATGTATTGTTAATATCAAATCTAGTTTCGTCCGATAAAATGGTATTATTATTATTACATATTATTATTATATTAATTAGTTATAAATACTAATATATAATAAACATTAGTTTGTATTGAATGCMTTGATATAATTTTATTTAAATAATTTTTCCTATTTTTTATTACAATAATTTTTACTATATTTTTAATATAATAATTTTTACTATTTTTATTAATACAATAATTATTACTATTTTTAATACAATATTTTTTACTATTTTATTAATACAATAAATTTTACTATATTTTTAATACAATAACTATTACTATTTTATTAATACAATAATTTTTACTATTTTTTTAATATAATAAATTTTACTATATTTTAAATACAATAATTATTATTATTTTATTAATATAATAATTATTACTATTTTTAATACAATAACTTTTACTATTTTATTAATACAATAATTTTTACTATTTTTCTTAATAGAATAATTTTTCACTATTTTATTAATATAATAATTTTTACTAATTTTAATATTATATATTTTTAAAAAAWWTTTTTAATAGTGTGCACCATGGATGTGGAGCAATAATATACTAGTATTGTTTAGTATAGTTACACCATATTTTATTATACTATTACACAGGTAATTTTATTGAGAAAAATAAAATTATTAAAAAATGTAAATTAAGTATTTAACTTAACCTAACATATATATATATATATATATATTTATAGAAACAATAAACTTGGTATTAAATTAATTATTTTGGTAAATATATTGTCAACATTGATAACATTTTCAGTATATATGATCAATGGTTTCAAAATGCAAGGGTTTCTGTATAAATCAAATCCAACGCTAATTCAATGCAATCCTTTATTGTAAGTTATAATTATCTATAAAAAATAATAATATTTAAAATTTAAATTAAAAGTGCTTAAATTTGAGTAATTTTTAATCGTGTACAGTTAACTTACTAGTAACAGTAAGCAAGGTAACATTTAATATAGAGTTAATAACTAATATTAGGTAAATTATATATTGTATATATAAAGTACCTTGGCTAAAACATTACATAATATTAAATTCAATTTTAAAACACTTTTAATTAGCATAAACTGTATACAGTATATACAAACATGTATATATTAACATTATGTTATAATAATATTATTGTTAATTAATATTATTATTAATATTATTATATTATATGATAATAAACATGTTTAACATTTTTTTTGTTGAATTATCAACATTTATAGTTTAAAAGATAGTATAAACAATTGGATACACATAAAACCCTGGTACTACATAAGCCCATATTTTAATGGTCTATTATTTGGCTATCTAACCGAAACCAATAGCATCAACAATAAAAATACTATCTGTGCTAAGCATACCTGTGCTAAACCAATAATATCTATTACTATAGTAATATTTATCCTAAATATTATCATCGGATTTATGGTCGACTATCATATAATACTATTACCCCATATTACACTGTTAGGTGCCTATGAAACAGCTATATTTCCTGTATTATATTCAGGGATTGTATGCTATTTAATGTTAATTATATCGGGAAGTAATGGTCCGATTAGACGGTTGTTATCGCACCGGTATCTCCTAAAACATCGTCTAATAAATAATTCATTATATTTATGGCATCCGATGAGTACTTTTTGGTTAATTATTTTCATTGATAATTATGAATTACGTGAAGATTTCCTACAATTATTACTAATTAAAAGTTTATTAACATATTTTCTGATTATTATATTTTATTTGATATTTGAAATACCAATCAAACATATTGTTCAGCAAATATTATTATTGTTTTTTCGTGAGAGAAAAATATATATTTTAAAAAAAGTAAATTAGTAAATATATATATATATTTTTAAAAATTTTAAGATAATTTTTTTAATATGTTTTTTTTTGTTGTTGTTTAAATAATTAATTATATTGTGATTAAATTGTAATTTATCAGTTTTTTCAATAAATTAATTGTATTAACAATAAATGTACTATATGAATTAAGGTATATAAAGTTATTATTATTATTATTATTATTATTATAAATCAAAATTATTTACATAAATCTAACATTTTAAATGTAATATTATGTGTTTATAAACTATTTATAATTAAATATATTATTATTTATTTATAATAAATATTGATTAATAACATATAATACAAAAAAAAATCTTTTAATTAATTTATTTTCTATGTTTAAAATTGTTAATGAATTTTTCAATAACAAAAAAATTTATAGTCAAAACTCAATACACTTGTATACTGTATTATACTGTTTATTGAATATCACTTTATTTTACAGTATTATAAAATATATTTTATTTCAATTATTTAATGTATGAATTATACAGTAAACCTGTATATATATAGTATGTTATTATTAAATTGTAAACAAAAAAAAACTATTAGATATTATAAACAAAACTTTACAACAAATACTGTGTTATTTTTCCCCCCAATAATATGTAATGATTAAAATATAAACTAAAAATTTAAATAAAAGTTTTATAATATAAATTATTAATAACTAAAGTTTAAAAAAAAATAAATTACTAATTTAATATTTATTTAAAATAAATATAAATAAACTATTTTTGATATTTAGTAATAATTTAAGTAAACATTTTTGAACATAATTATTATTATTAAAAAATAATTTTACATAAAATCCACATTTGCATATAGTTTATTAACCCATTAATTTTTATTAAAAATAGAAAATAAAATTAATTACATTTTAATATTTTTAATTTATTTATAAACATTTAAATTAAATTAATTTAAATGTTTATAATCTAAATATACAATAAATGCTGTTTTGATATGATATGTATAATTTAGTTAATATTTTTATTTGTTATATTTAATTTTTAAAAAATAAATAAATATGATACACTATAAATATTTTAATCGTATTCAAATAATATTGTTTTATTTAAGTAAGTATTATCAAATAAAATATTGTTTTTAAAATTACATTATATATTAATTAATAATAAATTATTAATTAATTTTATTTATTTTTAAAAAAAAATAGTTTATGCTCATGGATATAAAAATAATTTATACATGACTTATGTGGACAATATACGGGGTAATTGTTATTAGTTTTAAAATTTTTTAAATAATAATGATTTTTATATATAAATTTTTCCAATAAATATTTTTTAATATTTACAATTTAATAATATTTAACATTTAATAATATTTAACATTTAATAATATTTAACATTTAATAATATTTAACATTTAATAATATTTAACATTTAATAATATTTAACATTTAATAATATTTACCATTTAATAATATTTAACATTTAATAATATTTAATATTTACAATATAATAATTTTTAATATTTACAATTTAATATTTTTTAATATTTACAATTAAAATAATTTTTAATATTTACAATAAAAATAATATTTAATATTTACAATTTAAAATAATTTTTAATATTTACATTTAATTATATTTAATATTTACAATTAAAATAATTTTTAATATTTACATTTAATTATATTTAATATTTACAATTAAAATAATTTTTAATATTTACATTTAAAATAATTTTTAATATTTACAATTAAAATAATTTTTAATATTTACAATTAAAATAATTTTTAATATTTACAATTTAATAATTTTTAATATTTACAATTAAAATAATTTTTAATATTTACATTTAATAATATTTTATATTTACAATTTAATAATATTTTATATTTACATTTAATAATATTTAATATTTACATTTAATATTTTTTAAAACATTTTTAGTAAATTAATTATAAATATAAATAAAATTAATTAATTATATTGTAGAGCAAGTGTTGGAAACATATAACGAGTGCCGCAATGTTAAGGGCGACCTAAATGTTACGCAAGTTATACGCAACGAGTTTGTCATACATAACCAAAGTTGCGAAAGTTTTTACGCCGGAAACGGTATTATCAATATATTTGCCATTCGTGTCGATAAAGATCGGGTATTGTCAGCGGTGGCCAACTTTTCGTTGATTTCCGATCTGAAAGATAGTAATTAAATAGTTTTGATTTTTTATTTAACAGACACAGACACATATACAGACATATATTCAAACACACATAGATACACACACATACATACATTCAAACACACATTCAAAGATACATACATACACACAGACATACATACATATACACATTTAAACACACACATACACACAGATACACACACACAGATACACACACACACACACACACACACATTCAAACACACACACACATTCAAACACACACACACATTCAAACACACACACACACATTCAAAGATACATACATACATACATAATTACATATACACACACACACATACATACACACATTAAAACACAGACACACACACACATACATACACACATTAAAACACAAACACGCACACATACACACACACACACTCATACATACACACACATATACATAAACCAAATCTTTTTTCCCCCACAATTAATTGCTATCACTCAACAACAACAACAACAAAAAATACATAATTATTTTTTTTTTAAATAATTAAAAATTATAATTTTAATCCACACACACACACACACCCATCCACCCATCCAGATAGACATTATTCAATGTACACTGGTCAGATTGTTCAAGGTGATTTCATTGGTTCAAAAGTATTCAAACTGAAAGTATACGATGAATACTATATCCGGAAAGAGTGTATCGGACAGCCGGGTATTTTGCGATTGTATGCCATGTATGAAGAGTTTGGTATAGAGTCGACAAATCATGGTTTCATATGTATGGGCCGTCAGTATTCGGGGGTCAGTTCCTTCAGTCCGGGTATGGTTTACTCGCCGGTAATCGAGGCACAGGTAGCCCAACGTGTGAATCTGGTTCACCTGATTAGGCAACAGTTGCTAAATGTATACCAACAACAAATGCATAATAAAAACACTAATAATTATAATAATAATAATAATAATAATAATAATAATAATAGTAATTATAATATGAGTAAAAGTGTTGGTAAATAAAAGATATTTTTTAAAAAAATAAATATTTTAAATAAATAAACAGATTTTTAAAAATTTTATTTTATTTATATTGACATAAATTTATTTATATACAGACATACAGTATATAATATTTTAATAAATCATTAAATTTAAATGTTTATATTATAGCAATTTGTGTGTGTGTGTGTGTGTGTGTGTAAAAATATTATATTAAAAAAATATTTAAGCTATATAAAAATATATTTGTTTTTATTATAAGTGTTTGTTTTTTTAAATAAACTCTAATATAAAAAAACAAAAATTTAAAAAAGAAAATAATATCAATTAATTTATATAATTATAGTTAACCTAAATGTTAATAAATATTTTGTCAAAAAAAATTAAAAAAAAATAAAATATAGAGACAACAAAAAAAAATGTTGAATTAGTTTCTAATTAATTAATTAGTTATCTATTTCTCTCTCTCTCTTTCTCTCTCTCTCTCTCTCTCTCTCTCTCTCTCTTTCTCTATATATATGGTATTATATTTGTTTATTATATAATCTATTATTTGAATTATAAAATTTTTAAAAATTATTTAAATGTATATATTTGTGTCTAAAATTAAAAAAAAATAAATATAAATAAATAATATATTTTTATCTAAATATAATCGTCAACGAAAACATGGGCCACATTTTCGCCTCCCTCCACATAGAGGCTATGGCCGGTAATAAAACGGGCCTCAACTGAATCGGCCAAATATAGTACAGCACTGGCTATGTCCTGAATTTTACCTAATCTACGCACCGGTAGTCTATCAGCAAACGGTTTCAACATTTCATGGGTAATACCGTAGCCCAGCAGTGATTTAGTGATCATAACTCCTGGACTTTAAAATTAATTAATTAATTTTTTAATTAAAAAAACTTTAATAATTAAATTGTTAACTACACTACTATATTAACACGTATCCCATGGGAGGCTAACCCCGCGGCCGCACATTTGCTAAACATATTGATTGCACTTTTAGCTGTTGAATGTAATGCCAACTCTGAATACTATATTTGATTTTTTATAATAATAATAATAAATATTAATTCATAATAATAAGTATATTAATAATATTAATAATATTAATAATATTAATAATATTAATAATAACTTAAATAATTAATAACTTATTATTATTAATATTATTAATATACTTATTATTATTAATATTATTAATTATAATTGTTATAATAATAATAATATAATAATTAGTATATTAATAATAATAATAATTAATAACTATTAGTTAATATTATATATAAAAAATAAAATAAAAATTAGTATTAATAAAACAAAAACTATAAACAAACAGTTCGTAAATTCATTGATATATTGACAATATTTCCCTTAGTTTTTGCTAAATAGGGAACCGATAGCTGTGTCAGTCGGACAATAGCCCTGAGCTGAACATCCAGTAATTTATCTAATTTTGATACAAATCTCGGGTCCAATGGATCGCAATAGTCTCCATAATCGGCATTATTGACTAAAATATCAATTTTATTGAACGCATCGACAGTTGTTTGTATAAGTTTTTTGCAATCATCTTCACGGCTAATATCGGCCACAACTGGCAGTGCTGTCCGACCGTTAGGCGACAAATCCGAGCACCGTTTGGCCACAGTTTGGATCGGTTCCGGTTTACGTCCAGTAATAACTAGTTGTGCGCCACGTTTGGCAAACTCGGTTGCAATGCCGGCACCGATACCTCTATTTGAACCGGTAATCAATACTACTTTTCCTAAAAAATTTCTATTTATTTCCATTTTTTGAAAACTAAAATATAATAATAATAATTATATTAATATTAATAATTATATTAATACTAATAATTATATTAATACTAATAATTATATTAATACTAATAATTATATTAATACTATTAATTATATTAATAATAATAATAATAATAATAAATACCCTTTTAATTAATATGTATTATAAATAATATTTTTTTAAATATATACCCAGTAATTAATTTATTATAATATTTATATATTTTTAAAAAACTGTTTTTTAAATAATATATATATAAACTAGTATTTGTAGTAAATCTACAATAAATAATAAAACAATATTAATATTCAATTATTTTTTTGTAATCTTATATTAATGATATTAATTAATATTTGAAAATATCATTCAATAACAAAATAATAGCTAATATAACATAAAAAAATATAATACAATAATAATAATAATAATAATAATAATAAAAATTGCATTGTAATTATTAAATAAATTAATTTTTGCTGATGTTATAAAATAAACATAATAAAAAAAAATTTTAGCTAAAAATTATTATTTAGAAAATTTCTTAGCTATAAAATATTATTTTTATAATTTAACTAATTTTTATAATAATAAAAATATTTTTTCTTATTTATGGATAATAAAAGCGAATTCATCGGTAAAGTAGTAGTGATTACCGGCGGTAGCACTGGTAGTATCGGTGCCGGTATTGCAACCGAGTTTGCCAAACGTGGAGCACAAGTAGTTATCAGTGGACCGGTAGCCGATCGGATCAAATCGGTGGCCAATCGATGTACTGATGTATCGCCCAATGGATTGTTGGCCGCGGAAATTGTGGCCGACATTAGCCGTGAAGATGATTGCAAATCACTTATCGATACTACTGTCGATTTGTTCAATAAAATTGATATTTTAGTCAATATTTTTTGCGAACCACTGGCCAGTCATGTAATGGATACGGATTTTATGGATCAACTAAACAATATGTTGGACATACAGCTCAAGGCACCCATTTGGCTGACACAGCTATCGGCAAATTATTTGGACAAATCTAAAGGAAATATAGTATTTGTTAATACATTATCATCGCTACACTGTGTTAGTTGACTACAGTTATTATATATGTTTGTTTGTAATTTGTTAATTATTATTAATTTTAATTTTGCACCCATGTAATTTTTTTTGTAAAGGACCAGGATCATGTAGCCCATAGTACAGTTCAATATGCATTGAATGTCTATAGCAAATGTGCGGCCCGTTCATTGATGGCACAGGGAGTTCGTATCAATACTGTTGTGTAGGTTTGATATCTATATATATATATATATATATATATATATATTAAATATATAAATTATAATATAAATTATAATATAAATTATAATATAAATTATAATATAAATTATAATAGAAATTATAATAGAAATTATAATAGAAATTATAATAGAAATTATAATAGAAATTATAAATAGAAATTATAATAGAAATTATAATAGAAATTATAATAGAAATTATAAATAGAAATTATAATAGAAATTATAATAGAAATTATAATAGAAATTATAATAGAAATTATAATAGAAATTATAAATAGAAATTATAATAGAAATTATAATTAATTATAAAATATTATTATAATTATAAATATATATATATATATATATATCAATAATTATTTTTTGAGATTTATATTTTCAAATTATTTAATTTAGTTTATATAATTATTTTGTTTAATTAACTATTTGACCATTTGATTTCAGTACTAACCTATCAAACGATAGCACTGGTAGTAGTAGTAGTAGTAGTGGTGATACTGATGTGGTGGGCACACCCGAGGACGTGGCTCTGGCCGTACTATATTTGTCGTCACCGGCGGCCAAATTTATTAACGGCACAACACATGTTGTGGACGGCGGTCACAATATTATCGACTATTATCTTGAAAATTAAATTGAAAACTATTTTGATTTTTGTTAATTTAATATATAGTTATAAAATTTTGATAATTACTGATAATAATTAACTAAAAGTTTTTTTTTATTATAAATAATTTAATAAATCTAAATACAATTCAATATATATGATAATAGTAATAAATTTTTAAAATTAATAATTTAGCTTGCTTATTTATTTATAATAGTATATTGTTGGACTATTAATAATATAAAAACAAGTAATTAGATTTTTTTATTAATAATTATTATTTTTTTTAAATTGTAATTTAATTATAAATTTTGATAGTTTACTAAATATTAATATATAAATAATTTGTTATTTAATTAAACATTATTTATGTTATATATTTTTTTACTAACACATAAATAGGTATTAATAGATAATATTAATAATAATTATAATATAATGTAATTTTTATTAATTGGTTATTAAGTTTTCAGTTTTATAATCTAAACAAAATATAATAATAAAATAATTTTTTTTTGAAAACTATTTATTCAAATAGCTTTTCCATATATCTTCGTCTTTTTAATCTATAATAAATAATAATTAAAAAATTTGTAAAAAAAACTTAAAACATAATTAATTGAAAATATTAATAATACAAAAAAATATTTTTTTAAAACTTAAAACTTAAAATAATATTTAAAAAAAATATTTACTCTATTATTGGACTTCTTGACATTTTAAACTCTGTAATAATAATAATAATAACAAAATATGTATTAAAAAAACAAACATTTTAATTAATTTAATTAATTATTAAAAAAAATTATTGAACCAACAAAATAAAAAATAATTAATTATTTAATAACTAAATAAATTAAAAATAAAATTAACCTTTAGCAAATACATCATCCCATGCTTGATGCATTTTACCAGTTAGATGATCCAGGTCATCAAACAATGTAAACAATTTCATACAATTGAATACATTGAGATAGTTAACAATTATAATTATAATTATTATAAGCAATATAAATAATTTGTTTATTATATTTGTAGCCATTATAGTACTGTATATTTAATTTTAGAAAAATAAAATTGTAATATTTGTAATAATTAAATTTATCAATTATTAATTAAATATATTTTGATTTTTTATTTTTTAAAAACAAATAAACCATATTTTTTTTTAATTTGCGCAATTGTGTTATTGTGTGCAATTTTATTAATTTAGTTAATATATTAAAAAAATGAAAAAAAACATTAAAAACCTTATTGAGGATTGAGTATCGGGATATTATTAGGACATACAGGTGTCCAATCTAACTGTCCGTTTAACAACTTTAGTTTTAATAAGTTATATAATAATTACGGTAACTATATATTTATATATATTATAATAATCAGTACTACCAAACTAACTAATATACAAAATTTATTTATATTTTTTTAATATTTTATTTTATTTTTGAAAAAATAATTAATTATAGACAACAATATAGATGTATAATATTTTTTATATAGCAATAATGGATGTGTAAGTTATTGAAAACATAATAGCTATTTTTAATATAAAATTATTATAATATTAATTATTTTTTGTTTATTTTAGCTTTGGATTGAAAAAAATAATTTTTAAAAAATAATAAAACTATTTTTATATATAAAGATTAGAGATAATAATAATTATTTTTATATTAAGTTTAAAAACTTTTATTAATATAATATAAATGTAAAATATTTCGGATTATATTTAAAACAATTTTATTTATGGTTGTCATTACTGTATATTTTTTAAAAAACATCATTTACTTAAAAAAAATTATAAACACTTATAACTACTGTTATATATATATATATATAWAAGTAATTAAATTACAATATATTAAATTTTACTAAAAAAATTTTTAATTAATGTTTATCATTAAAAAAATGGCTGATCTATAGAAAGGCTAATATATTTAATATATATTTATAAAACTATTTATACAAAACTCAAAACTAAGAAACAATTTAATAATTAAGATATTTTTTTAGATTTTTTTGCTAAATATTATCAACAAAAAATATGCTAATATATTATCAGCTATTTATTGTTACAATATTATCGTTGACATGTATGTAATAATTTAATAAATTGTAAATAAAATTATAATTATTAATATTAATAATAAACTATAATTATTAAAAATAAACTATAATTATTAAAAATAAACTATWATTATTAAAAATAAACTATAATTATTAAAAAATATAACTATTTAATTATTTTTATTTTATTAATTCAATTTCAAGTGTGCTTGATAGATTCAAAAATAATTTACCGCTATAGAAATAATAGAGACTATCAAATTGATCCAGATAGAAATTCACCAATACAATTAACCAATAACCAATATGATAATGGTTATTTACAGKATAATCGTTATAAAACTAATAGTAAATATTAATTTGATTTTATATATATAAAAAAACACCAATAATTATCTGTAAAAATTATGTTTATTTTATTTTTATTTTTGTTTAAATAACAATTTTTTAATTATTTTAGTACAACAACAACAACATACTAGTGAACCTAATATAAAATATTTTATTAATATTATGGATGTAAGTTTATTTAAAAATTAATTAATTAATTTTTTATGATATATTAATTRTTAAAATTWTTAATATTTTTAATTTTTTTTTAACTTTTWTTAATAATTAAAAYATATATTAGCCGTACAATAGTGAAGAAGTAGACAATCCTCGTATTCAACGACTTCGTGGTACTAATCGTTATAAAAATAAATAATTTTAATTATTATTATATTTTAAAAATAAYTATAATGTAGTCTAACAAAAATTAAATATATAATTATTAATTATAATCAAAACATAAAATATTAAACTATAATATAATTATTATTGTGATAGATGGCATGTATAATTGTATTTTCAAAAATATAAATTTAATTAAAAAATAAAATAATTAYTATAWWAAAAATCAATATGTTATTTATTATAACAAATTATATAATTTTTTTTACAAAATGTAAACTTTATATACAATAATAATCAAACAAAAAAAATGTTATTATATTGTYTAACAATAGTTTATTATATAACTGTATTAAATACAAGTAATATTACTAATTAAAAAAAATTWAATTTATCTATATATAAAAAAAACTATCAAGCTAAATTATAATTATTTTTTATTAATTACTATTATACTACCTGTATAGATATAATTCAGGTAATGTCCCATAACTATTATCCAGGCGATTTTGATCCGGACGTACCGTTTTATGGACACCCGTACCTGAATACAGTACCTGAACATCATARTAATGGCCAATGGCCAGCCAATGKTTACCCGTCCAAAACGGTTATTACGGTCAACGGTGTACACAATTATGATAGTCCACAACAGGTTGTCCATTATACGGTCCGGTAGACGACCCCAGGCTGACCAATATGAACGAACTGAGCCACCAAAATGGTTACCGAGTGTACGGTAAGCGAGCTAAGACCGTATCGGGTGGTCAACTCGAGTCGTATGTATATTTGTCGGATACACCCGAAGTCCCGTCGGATTGGAAACCTGTTGGCCAGAAACAAGTGTACGAAGAAGCGGAAACCTCGCGTACGGTACGATTGCCGACACAATTGTTRCCRTCGGAGGAGTTGGCACTTCCCGACAAAATTATCTATAAATCTGATTCATAATAATTAGTATTAGTATTACTGTATTATTATTAGTAATAGTATTAGTATTACTGTATTATAATTAGTAGTAGTATTAGTATAACTGTATTATTATTATTAGTAGTATTAGTATAACTGTATTATAATTAGTAATAGTATTAGTATTACTGTATTATAATTAGTAGTAGTATTAGTATAACTGTATTATTATTAGTAGTAGTATTAGTATTACTGTATTATTATTGGTAGTAGTATTAGTATAACTGTATTATAATTAGTAATAGTATTAGTATTACTGTATTATTATTAGTAGTAGTATTAGTATTAGTAGTATTATTATTAATATAATATATAATAATAATATCAAAAAATAATAATAATTTTGTTTTGTTTATTTAACTATATTTTAATTAATAGTAACTATATTATAGCAATTTATTTTAAAATAGCAAATTTGTGTGTGTGTGTTTTATATTATTTTTAATTGTATACCCAAAATGATTGGTAATAATATATGCAATAATAATAATAACTTTATAATTTTAGTTATAATTTATATTTTATTTAATAAATAAATAACTTATATATACAATATATAAAATAGTATTTACTTATATACAGTATATTTAGTATAAGTATTAAATAATTAAGTATATAATAAATATAGTAAATATTATAACTAATGCTTTATATAAAACTATAAAAATTTTTATAATTAAAAATTATTATTTTATTTTTCAAATATTAATTGAATTATTTTATGAGTTTTTTTTTGTTATTGTATTATTTAAATAATATAATTATATATTATTAAGTAATTTTTCCAATAAATATTTTTATAGCATATATATATTGATATTATTTTTTGTTGTTRTTAATTAATATCTATTCAATAATAGTTTTGACTCATTTATATTACTATCACTTACTGTTAAGTCTAAGTTTTTAAGATTTTACTTAATTTAAAAATTAAAATAAAAATAAATAAATATTATTTACTGGATATACAAAACATGTGACACATGTAATCAACAACAACAATAAAAATTATCAAAATAATTAATGATAAAAAAATTATCTAGTTAATTTTTTTAATTAATCAACAAAAAAATGATCAATGACAATTATGTTGAGTGTTGAATATTATCTATATGATTATGACATTGATATTATTAATCACATATAAATTACAATATATATTATCTTATATTTTAATCTAAATTTTATTTATTAAACATAACTATAACCTAAAAAATATAATAGAAATATGTATTGTTTTTTTTAAAAAACAAATATTTTACAATTCAATACATTAATGCAATATATTTTTTTAAAAAAAACAATATATTTAATTTAATAATAATTAGTATTTTTTTTAGATAATTAGTATTTTAAAAAAATATAACTGAAAATATAACAAAAATACAATACAATAATATCAAACATAAACTAATTATAAATACATAATAAACTATTGATTTAATTATGGCTAGTTTGCGGGCACTGTCTATATTCGAGTCGTCCTCCCGGAGCTGATATCGACGGACACCCAAATACAGACAACATATATATGATTTCCAATCAATTTTGCGGACATCCGAATAATACGTTAGTTGATCTTCAGGGGACAGTCGGCTATAAATTTTATAATAATTTTCCGCATGGATTGTCCATTCATTGATCAAAAAATATCTATAGATTTCAATAGTTGAATGTAATTTTCTAATTATTTTCATCAATGAAACATTACTACTACTACTACTACTACTACTACTACTACTACTACTAGTAGTACTAAAACTATTGATCAGCACATGTATGCTATCGGCACAGTAGGCAAACATGGTTTCCGATACCAACCGATATAATTGATACCATAGTCGTTGAAATTTGTTGGCAATTGGTTTCGTTAATATGTCGGCAACCGGTCTAACCATTTGATGAGATGGTACCGACACTATTGATGGTTTTAGATAATCAAAAAATTGCCGATTAGTTATCGGATTTATTGTACTGCTGGCCATATTGATGACCATATGTCTATCATTGGGATAGTTAGCCGTATGCCAGGCCGTAACAATTAAGCCATTAACTAGTATGTCGACTAAATTTTTAAAATAAAAAATATATATATATATATATATATATTAATAAATAATTTAAAATAATTTTATAAGTTTTTTGATATATAAATATATAATAATAATAAATATATAATAATAATAATAAATATATAATATAAAATAACAAATATATAATATTAATAATAAATATATAATAATAATAATAATAATAAATATATAATAATAATAAATATATAATAATAATAAATATATAATAATAATAAATATATAATAATAATAAATATATAATAATAATAAATATATAATAATAATAAATATATAATAATAATAAATATATAATAATAATAAATATATAATAATAATAAATATATAATAATAATAAATATATAATAATAATAAATATATAATAATAATAAATATATAATAATAATAAATATATAATAATAATAAATATATAATAATAATAAATATATAATAATAATAAATATATAATAATAATAAATATATAATAATAATAAATATATAATAATAATAAATATATAATAATAATAATTATATAATAATAATAAATATATATACTGTATATATATATATATATATATATCAAAAAACTTATAAAATTATTTTAAATTATTTATTAATAATAATAATAATAATACTGTAATAATAATAATAATACTCACCAGGGATTAAATCAGTTTTTCCATCAACTAAAACTAAACAACAACAAAAAAATTATTATGTTTTAAAAAACTAATAATTATCGTATAAACATACAAAGGGTAGTATATTGTATTTTATTAATTTTTAAAAAAATTAAATTAAATTTATATTTATTTTTATTTATTACATTCACATATACGTATAATACCCATCATTAGCATTAAGACAAAAAATGTTGGACCATTGTTATAGTTATTAATCCAACCTAAAAATATTTTTAAAAAAAATTTAAAATAGTTATAAACATTTAATATTATAATTAAAATATTATAAAAAAAAATATTTAAAATAGTTATAAACATTTAATATTATAATTAAAATATTATAAAAAAAATATTTAAAATAGTTATAAATATCTATTATTATAATTAAAATAGTATATATAAAAAAATTTTAAATATATATTTAAAACAGTTATAAACATTTACTATTATAATTAAAATATTATATATAAAAATTTATTTTAAAATAATATTTAAAATTGTTTTAAACATCTTCTATTATAATTAAAATAGTATATATAAATAAAATTTTTTAAAAATTATTTAAAATAAATATAAACATTTACTATTATAATTAAATTATAGTATATATAAAAAAATTTTAAAAAATAATAATAAATTATATGTATTTATACCGGGAATCGGCTCTTTTAAAACAGAGGTCACAATCGATGGCCGGACGATAACAATCGGTAAATGCGAGTACTGTTCGGTTACCAGATTTTCGGCAATAGCTTTGCTAAACGTATACGGATTGGGTCTGTCATCCATAAGCTCTCTCATAGCTAATGTATCGCTACTGTAGCCATAGGTTTGACCGACGGTCCTGATTGCGGCCATTGTGTCCACTGCCGTATGTTTTAGTTTGTAAACATTTTCGCCAATTATTTTCATATTACAATTGCTGAAAGCTGTCGATAAGTATATAACTGCCTATTTGTTTGTATGTTAATTATAAAAAAATTTTTTTAGTAAAATTTATAAAATAATAGAAAAATTTCTAGAAAGTTCCCCCCCCCCCCCAAAAAAAAAAAATAWAATTTCTATTATATTTAGTGAATTCACCATGATTAATTTTTTATCTATTGATATTTTTTGTTATCTTGTAACATTGTTTTTTTTCATAATTATATTATTAAATATTATTATTAGTAGTAGTATTATAATTAAAGTCAAAAAATTAATTAATTTAATTATATTAAACGCATATAATATATTAAAAAATGATATTGATAAAATTTATACAAAACTGATTATTATTATTAAATATAATTATTTATATATTTTCTATATTAATATTATTATACAGTAAACTCTAGATTATATAGTACACTATAAAATTATATTTATATAGTATTATTTTATCATTAGTATACTGTATTTATAGTATCACAATACAGTATATAATATATATACGGGGATCCCATAGTATATAACAATAAAATTGAAATTTCACTATAGAAATCTATATATTCATTGAGGAAATTTTCTAGAAACTTTCTATTTTCTCATCTCTATTAAAACTTAAAAAAATAAATAATTAAAAACTAAAAATTAATTTTTTTTGTTGGTTTGTTTACCTCTAGTTTTATCATTTTATCGCACAATTTCATCACTTCATTAGTTCCCCAAACGTTTTGATCAATTAATTTATCTAATGATTCATTAAATTTTACCGAAGCGGCCAAATGATAGACAACCGACACCTCATTGATCAGTAGTTGTCTGTCGGTTGTCGACAATCCCAGTCCTGGTTCACAGATATTACCGCCGATAGCAACCAATTTGTCCAAAATTTTAGGACAGTTAGTAGTAATATTATGACTGAATATTTCCGATCCAATGATTTCTGTGTCCAATCTTTGGCCAATTGTTTGATTTGGTTTCGGTCTCAACAATATGTAAACGGTTTTTATCTGAGGACACGATCGGATGAGTTTTTCGCATAAAATTTTACCAATAAAACCGGTCCCACCAGTTATAAGCACCGATCGATTGGCATAATATTGATTTATTTGCGATAATTTCATTACTTTTTTTTAATTAAAAAAAACTGTTTAAAAAAAGTCAATAATTTTCTATTTAAATAATAAATAGTTTAACAAAATAAATAAATAATTTATTTTTTAAGCTAAATATTACTGAATATTGAAACTTATGCTTAAAACAAAACTTAAACATAAAATATAATTAAATCGTGTATTTTGTARATATATATATATATATATTATTTTTTTAATTAAATCAAAACTGTTTACGCACTTAGTTTTATTATTTTTTTTAATTAAAATAGTTTTTACAAAATATTACAACAAAATGTTGGGTAAATGTATCACATTTTTAAAAAAATAAATAAAAATTATTTATTTAATATTTAATCAAATATAACAAACATATAGTCAATAGCCTAAAAATATTAATAATAAGTTACAATATATTTTTCAATTGAAGTCTAAACTATAAGTATCARTAATAACTGTTTTAATAGTTTTTTAAAGTATCTAAATTTTTATTTTATTTCATCCAATCAATTTGAAATAATATGATTAATTAATTTTATTTATTAAAAAAAATTATATATATATATATCAAATAACAATATTATTCAGTTTAATATTACATTTATATTTATGCCATTTTTTTAATTATTTTTATATATATAAAGTATAGTTTAATACAGATATTTAATAAATTTAAGTCAGATTTTTAAAACAAATAGAGTTTTAATTTCAGTAATATTATGTTAAATAATAAAAAATAATTATATATAAAATAAAATACTTTAAATATATTGCTTAATATTTGGTCTATAATTTATTTGTAGTATCAGTGATACACAAAATACAGTGATTGAAAAATACAAAAAAATATTTAATTTATGAAAAACATTAGTTTTTTTAATTATATATATATTTATTTAATTATATTATTTTTTAAAGAAATTAATAATAACTTTTTTAGTTTTGTAGATATTATACAGTATTAGTAAAATTATTTTAGTATTATAATAGTAACAAAAAATATATATAATCTTTAATTAATTACTTATTTTTTGTAGTTTATTTTGGTAAATGTTTTTTTTATAAATTATAATTGATTGTTAAATATAAATATTAATAATAATTTATATTTTTATAGATAAACAATTAGAAAAATAATATATATATAAGTAGACTATAAAACCAGAGATATTTAATTTAAATAGTCATCAATAGATAATTGCAAAAAAATAATAATTTAGTTATAAATATAATAATATATGATATTAAATAGTCTCAAAAAATATGAGATCAAACTACTGTATATTAAATACATTAGATGTGAAAAAATATTTAAATTTTTATATTATTACAATTTAAAGCAAAAAAAATTATTAATATATTAGCTATTTTTTAATATGATTTTTTGATATTATATAATTTATTATATAAATACAAATGTATGTATAAAAAAAATTATATATGTATTTAATACACATAAAACATGTTTTAAAGGCCTACAATATATCTATAATTTTTTATATATATATATTAATTGATAGGCCTTATAGACAAAGAAACCACCAAAAAAATACAAAAAAAAATTAAACAAAAAATTGACCTAAATATTAGTGATATCTTTTTTTGTTGTTGTTGATGTCTACTAAAATCAAGGGCACAAATAGTAATTATATAATACACTACTATAAAAAAAATTTATGTAATTATACATTAAGAAAAAAATTGAAATATTTATATATATTTTATATATATTTATATAATAAGTAATGATTTTCATCAAAAAACTTCCCTTAAAAGACAAAAGCATTTATAGTACAGTTATTATCTAAAAAAATAATAATTTTTTTTTGTGTGTGTATTAATATGATATATAGATGACATTTGAACTTTTTTTTGAAGTTTTTACACATTTTTTTTTTGGTTTGTTTTTGTTATATAATATATAACTTATATAATTCAATGACAAAAAACACTCCCAACTGATAAACAAACAAAAAATAAATTTGCATTTTTTGATCAAAAATTTTTTTTTGGTTGTTTAAACAGTATATAAATGGCACACAAATTTCACTTTCATTCAAAATCAAATTCATTGCTTATTTGAAATTGTTTTAAATAACTTTCAATTTTGTTGAATAAAAAAAACTTTTTTTGACCAAAAAAAAATGTTGAGAGTATGTGTAATATATGCCTATTAAATGCTATTTAAAAAAAATAATGTTTAAAATATAATACTAAAAAATTATTTATTATTTTTTTTTTAATTTTCATTTACATTACAAAAACAGTTGACTGTCTTAGCCCTAACCGTTTGCTACGTATGCGCCTATGGAGGCGCACCAGTATTCAGAGCCAGTGCTGGCTATGGTGGAGGCGCTCCTCTATTTAGAGGAGGTGTTGGCTATGGTTTAGGAGGTGGTCTACCGGTTGGTCGGGTGCTCAACAATTTCGGTGGTCCGATCAATGCTGCCGTCCACTCCACCCGTACCTACGAAGTACTGCCCGTCCCCGTCCACTACGAGGCTGCCATTCCCCAGACCATCGAAATACCGGCCAATGTCCAGCCAGTAAACATGATCTTCCGAACCCAATCGAGTCCATTGAACTTACAACAAGTGCACACACCGTCCGCTCCCGTCTACCAGAGTAGCCGTTCCGAAGATCAGCCGTCGGTGTTGACCCACGAAAACTATAAGCCCGTGATTCAGGAATATCGGGAAACTATTCAGCCGTTCCGCCGAATTGAACAACGCATACAACCGGTCATCGAGACAGTACATACCGTAGTGGCCAAAGGTGACCACTATAGACAACCCGAACCCCAACTGTTGGCCGGACCCGCAGTCCTACCGTTTGCTGGCGGCAGAGCTGACTACAAATAATTAAATATTTTAATATTTAATTTTATAAAAAAACATTGAATTTTTTCGACACTAAATTTGTTATTGTTTTTTATAAAAAAAAAATATTTTCATATTATATACAAGTTAATAGTATATATATATTTTTATAAAATTAATTTTACAAATATTTTTATATTATTATATTATATATATAAAACAAAAATATCTAATTGAAAGAAATAAAATATATTTGATTTAAAAAAATCTAATTTCTATTTTTATTTACTTAAAATTTAAAGATTATTAATAATATTAAAAATGATTTGATTAAACCAATTGATTTATCTTTTTTTTATTAATAATTGAATATATATATGATCATATATAAAAATATTAAACAATAAAAATAACATCATCAAATAATACAGTAATAATATTTTTATCATTAGTAATTTACTGTATATATATATAAAAATTTACTATTAATTATCACTCAATATAAATTAATGTATTTAAAAGTACAGTTATATTGTACAGTATTGTAATAATAATAGTAATGACATTAGATTATGTAAATTATAACTAAAAACTTAATTATTATTATTATTTCTACACATATTTCAATTTAATAATTTGTTAATGTATTTTAGAGTAATAGTAATAGTTATAAATTTTTTGAAGCATAACTATTAATATAGATATAACAATTTATGCATATTTTTATAATTTGATGATAATAGCAATAATAATAATACTTTATATTATAATTAAATTTATTTTATTACTTTTTTTATATTATATAATTTTAAAAATTAAAATATAGAAATATTTCAAAAACAATTGATACTTTTTATATTGTATTTTTTACATAAATTTTATATATTAAATAATATATATATATATATAATAAGTAATGATTTTCATCAAAAAACTTCCCTTAAAAGACAAAAGCATTTATAGTACAGTTATTATCTAAATAAATAATAATTTTTTTCTGTGTATTAATATGATATATAGATGACATTTGAACTATTTTTGTTGTTGAAGTTATCACAAAATTTTGTTATATAATAAATTCAATGACAAAAAACACTCCCAACTGATAAACAAAAAAAAATTAAAAAAATAAATTTGCATTTTTTGATCAAAAATTTTTTTTGGTTGTTTGAACAGTATATAAATGGCACACAAATTTCACTTTCATTCAAATCAAATTCATTGCTTATTTGAAATTGTTTTTAATAACTTTCAATTTTGTTTAAAAAAAATTTTATCAAAAAAAAATGTTGAGAGTATGTGTAATATATGCCTATTAAATGCTATTTTTGAATTTTTTTTGATTAATGTTTAAAATATAATACTAATAAATTTATTTATTATTTTTTTTAAATTTTCATTTACATTACAAAAACAGTTGACTGTCTTAGCCCTAACCGTTTGCTACGTATGTGCCTATGGAGGCGCACCAGTATTGAGAGCCAGTGCCGGCTATGGTGGAGGCGCTCCTCTATTTAGAGGAGGTCCAGGCTATGGTTTAGGTGGTGGTCTACCAGTCGGTGGTCGGGTGTTCAACAATTTCGGTGGTCCGATCAATGCTGCCGTCCACTCCACCCGTACCTACGAAGTACTGCCCGTCCCCGTCCACTACGAGGCTGCCATTCCCCAGACCATCGAAGTACCGGCCAATGTCCAGCCAGTAAACATGATCTTCCGAACCCAATCGAGTCCATTGAACTTACAACAAGTTCACACACCGTCGGCACCCGTCTACCAGAGTAGCCGATCCGAAGATCAGCCGTCGGTGTTGACCCACGAAAACTATAAGCCCGTGATTCAGGAATATCGGGAAACTATTCAGCCGTTCCGCCGAATCGAACAACGCATCCAACCGGTCATCGAGACAGTACATACCGTAGTGGCCAAAGGTGACCACTATAGACAACCCGAACCCCAATTGTTGGCCGGACCCGCAGTTGGTCTACCATTTGCTGGCGGCAGAGCTGACTATAAATAATATGTTTTGTTATAATTAATTAATGAAAAAAACATTTTTTCGACACTAAATTTGTTATTGTTTTTTATAAAAAAAATAATTTTTAATTATTTTTTTACAAAAATATTTTCATATTATATACAAATTATTAGTATATATATAAATATATTTTTATAAAATTAATTTTACAAATATTTTTATAT